TCAAAGTGGGCCCATTTTAATTATATTCATTTTCTTCAAATGTGCAGAGCACTCCCCAAGCGCTGTGTTGATTTATTTTAAAGTAGGCCTGTGTATTTTTTTTATTCTCCTTATAAGAGTTCTTTGTTTCTTATTAAGGTAAATGGTCAATTGCGGTAAACAGTTTTCTATAATGTAATAAATAAAAACTGTAGTTTTTGTCTATGATATAACAATATATACAACTTTATAAGCTATCAAATATGTTTTGCGGCTCCAGACAAAAAACAATGGTGGAAAGGGGGGCAAAATGGCTCTCAAAAAGGTTGCAGACCCCTGCATTAGGCTGTAAAGAAGGTACATTACGCTCACACATGACAACCGCTAAGCTAAAGGTGGCTAATGTTTGGTGTGTTGACGTTCAGTAATTAGCCACTTGTTAGCAACCTCAATTTTTATGACACATAAAAGCTTCAGATATTCACCAGTGGGGTATTTACTGACACATTTGATATGTTAACCACAGACCTTATTTCAGGCATCTAACCAAAAGATACTTTCAAAAACACATTTCCAGGGCTGCCAACATTTGAGTTCAGCTTGGAGTGAGATTTTTATTTGGTGAACCGAAAAAAGAAACGTTCATGTTTAAAGTGTTACAAATGTATTGAACATACAAACATACAAACTAGGGTTTCCCATTAATGTACCTATTTGGTATAATGTACTCTTACAATGAAGACTCGATAATCAGCTCACAGCATATACAATGGCATATAGGTGTAAGCAGAGGTAAAGTGCTATTTTATAAAGGGGGGGGGGTTTAAATATTGAAGTTAAATGCATCAAGCTCTCAAAGTGCACCTGAGAGCAAAATGAATTTATGGATACATCTCTCAACACCCATATGAAACAGAACTGCACACAGATTTTCTTTTTGGATATTTTCCAAATCACTCACCTTTTAAACTGTATTCTTGTTTTACTGTCATATAGTATTTCATAACTGTTCTGCATTTATTCTCATAAATGGTGACCAAAACGTTTGAGACCCACTTGAGATAACTAACTAAATCTAAACACTCAGAGAGTCCCTTACCTCACTGAGCTGTAGTTATCTCTCTCAGTCTGACAGGACAGAGCTCTCCCTTTCCTTGTTTTAGAAACAGCTTCTAATATCCGTTAGCGCAGCTAGCTAACCAGATGCTAACAACAACAATGCAAATAGTGAGTTTGGTAGAAATATACTGCATAATAGTAAAGTTATTTAAGATGATGCCATATTTATTGAAAATTGTACATTATAAATATTCCCTAGAATTATTCAAAATGTATTCTTCCAAACTCCTTGCTGTAGTATGACCAACACAGGAGACTATTGTGTGTAGTGAGTTTGGTAGTAATAAGCTGTATAATAGTGATTTTATATTATTGTATTCTCTTTTTTCGGAGTTGCACTTTGCAGACGGTCCCTGAGCACTCGCTTCTTCTCCGGCTGCGGATAGAGACCAATGTAATGAGCCCAGCTCGGAGGACGGAGCGTATTGGCTTTTTTTTAAATCAAAATTTGATTGTATTTCGTTGTCAACCTTACCACGGTACTTAGGAGACGTCGTTTGTGTCTGAATAACGTTTTGTTCATGAGTTATTGATCCGTGAAATCAGAATCTCCCAATATCGTTCCAACTTTACTGAACTAAGCCAGAAGACCGTCTCATTTCGTAGACCGCTCGGTTTGCTGTTCCTTCACTTTATTTTGATATTTATATATACATTTATTTTGGACGAAAACTTAGCGTGAGGAAAGGCAAGTGTGGCGTGAGTGCGTGAGATATGGGTTAATTGCGTGACTCTCACGCTCAATGCGTGAGTGTTGGCGGCCCAACCCTCGAGATAAGGGAAATAACTAATTTCACGTTTTAGGATTTTTTTCCTGCACCACTCTACTGTGGACTGAGTTGTTTAAAATGTTCTTCTACTGACATATTTTGCAGTAAAAAGTGAATAACATTTGGACAGGTGCATCAAACAGAGGACGTTTCAAATCATGTTCATACTTCAAACCAAATCAGGTGGTGAAATGCATGCCCCATTGATTCATTTCACAAAGATAAAAATGTTCTCTCTCTATTTGCATATTTTCCTACATCTTTTGCACTGCAACCAACGACCTGTAAGTGAAATGAAAAGTTGCCAGTGTTTACTTTGGATAAGGAAATCATATTTTTGAAGTATTGTCAAAACTTACGAAGATAATGCCATTGAAAACCACCATCATGGCTTTGAGGAATCCAAAGCATCCCATTTTTGCGGCTGATTTGTCTACCTATAAGGAGAAAAGAAATAAGAAAATCAATGCATTTTTACTCAAAACAGTCAAACAGCATTTCTCCTGGAAGATTTGTATGCAACAATTTAAAGTTTTTTATTATTCAGTTCAATATAATACAATTTTAATCAGACTTTGAACACACATCACATCACCTCATTTGTTTGCTGCTGTTAGTCATCTCCATGAGTTTCGGACATGATGTCCCGAGTGTCAAAAAGTCATTATGAACCGCCAATTAGGTGACAAATTAACAGATACATTGTGTGGTTTCCTGGAGAGAGCAGGGGAGTGGGAAAACACCTGCCACTTTCCCAACGTGTCACCTTGTTGCCCTTTGTAAGCTAAATAACTTATCTTTGTCAAACACTCAAACGCCTTTCACGTCCACTCTTAAGGACATTTCACAGGGAACTTGGGTGAGGGCTTTGTTTAGTTTAGAGTTAATGGGTGTAGAGAAGTTACGATTGAGGAAGTAAATAAAAAAAGACCTTTCATTAAGCCAGTGATATGCAAACTACAACATACTGTATGGAAATGATTAGCTTTTCCTACTTTATTGTCCAAATTTAGACCATTTTGGTATAAAACTACAAAATCATATATATATATAGACGGTGTTGGAGGAAGTGCTCAGACCCTTTACTTAACCCTTAGATGCACAAGTGACTGGACCCTACACTCTTAAGTGGGTCAAAAAGGACCCGTATTAGAATAATATGCGTTTTTATGACATTTTTGTTGAGAAAAATCACTTTTATATAATTTAGTATTCTATTTTGGTTCACAGTAGGAATATTTTATATTGAATTTTTCACTATTTATAATTTTAGACATTTTATTTACATTTTGAAAAAAAAAACGAAATTCCATAGAAAATGCATGCGGGTCATTTTTGACCCACTTAAGGAAGCTTGGGGTAGTAAAACAAAAACTACAATTTCTTAAAATGTATCAAANATCTAAGGTGGGGTAGGTAATTCACTTCACTCAGAAACAATTGTTGTTATATTCCATGGAATGCTCTTAACATCCCGATAGCAATGAATACATTAAATGCTTTGACAATAAATACATAAAACATGTCATCTGTGGAAGCCGTGGTGCTGTAAAAAGTACGACCAATCATCTGAGCCGGCCCGGCTAAAATAACTGGATGGCCTACCTGCCTGTCAGCCTTTCATCTGTGCACAAACTTATCTCGTGCCCTCATTGATCATGTGCGCGTTCGTGTGTGTTGGAGGAGGGGCTCTGTAAGGAAGTCTGAAGGAAGAGGCAGATTTTTTCGGTTGCGTATTTTCAAATTCTAGCGCACTCGAGCTGGTTTCTCCATCCTTACCTACCCTACCTTTAAGAAAACTATAAATACTATGGTCTTAAAATACTCCACTTCAAGTAAAAGTCCTGATTTGAAAATTCTACTTTATATCAGCAAAATATAATTAAAGTATAAAAAGTAATTATTGTAGAAAAAAACTGCCTTTATGTGTGTATATAAATTGTATTTATATATGTGACATTTATAGACAATAATGTTGCATCAAGTAGCATTTTTTTGTTGTAGACAAACACCGTTCTGATTGACGTTTTGTAAAATATTTAAGTAATTTGACTCGTTTGTGACTCAGAGAAAAAGTCTACTAGTAGAATTTTTTTAGAGATGCATTGTATTAAAAGTAGCTACAGCTGTAACATAAATGAAGTGGAGTAAAATTGCATTATTTCCCTTCTGAATGTAGTGGAGTAGAAGTATAAAGTACTTCAGAATTATACTAAAGTACAGTATTTGAGTAAATGCACTAAGTTAATTCCACCTCTGCCTATAGGATGTAAAATGCACACAAATGCTATTTCTTGTTAAATAAACAAAGACTCCAGTGTGTGTATTTGCATAGAAAACTTAGTGATCCATAGCACCCATCATACTTTATGGCGCTATAAACAATGGCCATTTGCAGTACAAAACAACAGCTCTTTATCTGTTGACACACATAAAGCAAATTCCCTTTGGTGTGTTTGCAAGAGATACAACATGTATCTGACCCCATAAACACACACATGCTATCTCCAAATCTTCTTCTACAACATCCTTTTACAACCCATACTGTTCTAGAGACATTTCAAAAATCGGTGTGTGTGTGTGTGTGTGTGTGTGGGAAACAGTGCCCTTTGTTTGGGGGGACAACACAGAGAAATTGTAATCCCCGATGACAATGACAGAGCAGAACCCTATTGTTGATATAACAGGCTGTTTTTCGAGGAATTGGGATATCCCTAAAGGCCTCTTTTCACTTATAACATGATATGTACATATTGTACTTCACTCTTGACAGTTATTCTGAACCCTTTCCGTAAATAAACAACCGGGCGATGCAAAAGGAAGTGGCTTGTCAGGTTTTTAAGTTACAGTAAGCTGGTTGTCATCAAGTTAATCATACATTCGAAGGTTAGGATGCCTTCAAAATTTAACGAATGGTTGCCTTGACTCCCTAAAACTCCCTATCACCTTTTGAGCTTCACTTCCTCGTGGTCAGCCATTGCACTCTGACACTGGTGATGCATTAACAAGCTCGAGTCACATGCAAATCTCTGGGAAAAAAGGATGTGAGCTTGCAGCACCTGGTAACACAGGAGTGGAGGCTCTTGTTTGCAGGTGACATATGAAACGGGTGTTTGAGATGTATTTGCCAGTCTTAGATCAACAAAACCTCTCGTGTCTGACTCACTATATAGAAAACAACAAAAAAAACAGACAGGCAAATCTCAAAGGACGCCATTGAGCAGAATAATTGCAGGCAGGTCTCAGGAGACAAAGGATCTTTGTTGGATGGATTTCTATCTACGTTTGGTACGGCAATTGGAAAAACAACACAGAGAATTGACCAGATAACTTTAAATTGAGTTAAGTTTCTCTTACCTTTCACAGGAGAAATCGTAGGACGTTCACTCTGGTGATGGAGGCTGTTGATGGGAGTAAACTGAGGAGTGTATTATTCGACTGTCCTCGGAAAAAAAGGAAAATGACCCACAGTGTACTCTCTGTGTCCCCTACTTCCTGTGACTCCGCTAGATAAGAAACAGCCTCTCTGAGTGACTTTTTCTGCTTTTTGTTGGAAGGCTGTCTGCTGGTTATAACTACTAAAAAGG